CTGTAATCTTTGATGAAATTTGAGGTGTTTTCCTTAAAATCCTCTTACTGTTCTGGTGAAATCTTAACCATTTTCTTGGGCCCTCAGAACATTCTGTCGCACGACTAGAGCTAGTTGCCATGGATGAATAGAATTTCATAAGGCTTGAGTAGTATTCTTTTTTAAATGATTTTGGCAATCAGACATGAACATAAAGTACGATTCTTTCCTGTATCATGTGGTGCAAAGTATTTGCTTGCTGGGCCAGTTCACCTTTTATTTTCTTCAATTATTTCCATCTTCATTTTGTGAAAATGGAAACTGAAATTTAGCACTGGTGACCAGTCAGCAAATGTGGTCCAGAAAGCTTGATGCTGTTCTCAAAACAATTGTCTAGCGTGTTGTAGACAAGATGCATAGAGACAACAAGCCCCCGTTTGGCTTATTCTTTTCAAATTTTAATGGTTGGAATAATATTTTATTGAAAAAGAATAAATATCTTCATTTTGTGAAAATGGAAACTGAAATTTAGCACTGGTGACCAGTCAGCAAATGTGGTCCAGAAAGCTTGATGCTGTTCTCAAAACAATTGTCTAGCGTGTTGTAGACAAGATGCATAGAGACAACAAGCCCCCGTTTGGCTTATTCTTTTCAAATTTTAATAGTTGGAATAATATTTTATTGAAAAAGAATAAATTTTTTTTGATTTACGTGTAATTATTTTATAAAACATTGGGTGGTTAAAAATAAGAGAGAGTGAGTGAGAAGAATAACGTGGACCAAATGGGGGATAAGAGATCTAACCATTGTAGGAGGTGGAGATTCTCTGGTCTTCCCTATTGTCAAATGCATAGACGAGTTCGACAGGTTACCTTCCATGTTGTCCACTCAAATCAAAAGGAGTAGAGACTAGAGAAGGCCAACGACCTACAGATCTTACAAATCTTCACCCAAGTTGAAAGAATAGAAGCAATCGTAACAATCCTTATCATTGCATGTATAGATATTTTCTTGCCTACCACTTGCTAATTCACAACCACATAACTTGAAAAGGTGATAATGACGTGACAACTAGATCAGCTCAAATGAGGCATGCCACAACCATACAAACTATCTAGGGACTGATAAAAGTACAAACACATTATTAAAGCATTTTACATTCCATTAAATAGGAAGTAGTTCATCGTCATTTCATATTTAAGGCAAAACGCTGCATATAAGAGAGAATTGGGAAATTGCAAGCCACAAAAATCCTTTAGAAACAGTCTACAACCCATTAAAATCAAAACATGCACGATAGGCTTACGCAACAAACTGCATTGCTCTCCAGCTGCGTTTATTCCGACTAGTTTTTATCTTACTACTTAGTAGTAGTGACACCATGAATTGCAGCTCGAATGCATAACCATTGTGCAGCATCTCATACAAATTACTGAGTTGAAGCCATGTGCTTAATCAAGTCAACCACACGGGTGCTGCAATAATGGAAGAGAAGTCAGACGCAAAGACTTCAAGAAAAGTAAACCAGGCTTCTTCTAAACGTGGTAGGTACAAAATAATAATAATAATAATAATAATAAATAATAAATAAAAAACTGGCATTGTAATTACCTGTAACCCCATTCATTGTCGTACCACGAAACAAGTTTGACGAAGTTCTTGCTCAAAGCAATTCCTGCCTTGGCATCAAAGATGCTTGACCTGCAGTAGCAAGAGAGCAGTCAATTATATTTATGAGAGCTGCAAGATCATCTCTTTGTAAAGGAACACATGTATTTCTACTGTACGCTATTGGAAGATACAAACAAGCAAATCACAACTGATTAAATTGTGGTCCTTCCAAATTCATTTGTCAGGCTCAGGGAGCCACTAAAGAGGAGATGAAGTATGTTTATATATGGAAATAAAGGAGGAAGGAAAAATAATGCTAATCAAGAATCCAAATCCAATCAGAAGTAAAACAAAAATAATCACCTGCTGTCACCCACAAAGTCAGTGGACACCACGTCATCTTCAGTGAAGCCTAAGATTCCCTTCAGCTTTCCTTCGGACTCCTCCCTGTCAAAAGCATAAAAACAACAATCAAATGGGGTGTATGAATGTGCATTATTGTTAATAATTTTATATATTTAAATAATATACTATTTTTTTGTAGGAAAGGGAGCAATTGATACAGTATCACGGAGATAAACATGAACATCCATAAAGACAAACTGAAAAACCATGCATCCTTACTTGATGGCTGCCTTGATTTCATCATATGTAGCCTCTTTCTCCAATCTCACGGTGAGATCAACCACAGAGACATCAACAGTAGGCACACGGAAGGCCATTCCAGTCAGCTTTCCATTCAGTGCCGGAAGAACTTTTCCAACAGCCTTCAAGGACAAGAGGAAAGAATCAGGAGGAAGAGATTATCCAGAAGGCTGAGCTAAATTAAAGTAAATACAGAACTAGTGCGTTACAAACACAATCTTCCATTACTCTCAAATGAGAGCAGTAGACAGGTTTGTAAAACTTTTCAAAGAATTTAATACCTTGGCAGCTCCTGTGCTGCTGGGAATGATGTTGAATGAAGCAGCTCTTCCACCCCTCCAGTCCTTTGAAGATGGTCCGTCAACAGTCTTTTGAGTTGCTAAATAACAAAAAGAAGCACCATTATCAATGACACAGTTTTGAATGCCAAACAAAATAAATGACTAAACCTGCCTGTGATAGAGTGGACTGTTGTCATAAGACCCTCAACAATTCCAAACCTGTCGTGAATAACCTGAAAAATTTAATAAGTATAAGTTTGTTTTGTATTGACCTAACAAAACATACGTATAAACGCACAAGTTAACAACAATAGCTGCAAACCTTTGCCAAGGGAGCAAGGCAGTTGGTTGTGCAGCTGGCATTGGAAACAATGTTGAGTTCGGGCTTGTATTCTTTCTCATTGACACCCACAACAAACATGGGTGCATCCTTGCTTGGAGCAGAGATAATGACCTTCTTTGCACCACCCTAATTCAAGAAATTAAAAGAATTAGCATAACAGAAAACAAGACCAACAACGTTAGAATTGCTTAAAACAGAAAAATGCAAACTTCTCATGTCAGATCACTACAGATTTCAGGCCATGCATGTTTTTCTATGTCTATTCTAAAAGTTAAGATTAATTTTAATTATAAACTATCAGCTAGAAAACTAATATAATGCTTTCTACACAAAAAACAAGGGCTACCTAAATAAATATGGATGAATAATATTTGTAAGAATTGTGCTCTAAATATTTCATAAAGAATTATATGCTACACAAAACAAATTAATTTATCAAGTGAAAGTTTCCATGGCCAACTAAATCAAACTTATGACCACTCATATTTAGTAATGAATTTATAAACTGCATTAATGGCTAGACTAACCATGCACAAAAGCAGAAAAATGTATTATTATAATTACAATTACAGAAACATTAATGGTGATGCAGACAATTAAACAAAATCATTTAACAGGGCTGTGTAGAAAAAAATCATGAATAAACCCTACAGATCTAGGAACTATTTTCATCTACATCCATGTCCCTATGCAATCTAAAGCAATAGAAAAACTATTTATTTATAATATAAATAGTGGAAAAATCAAACCCCAAGATTGTTTAGATATCACAAACCTTCAAATGGGCTGCTGCCTTGTCCTTGTCAGTAAACACTCCAGTTGACTCCACAATGTATTCAGCACCAGTCTCGGCCCATGGGATCTCTTCTGGGTTCCTTCAAATACAATTCAATTTGGAGACAAGGGTTCAATAACTAGCCCAAGATCCAAATTCACACACGAGGCAATCAACATAAAGGTTATATAAAGCTCAAAATGTACCTAATGCCAAAAACAGATACAGTCTTCTCGCCGAACAAAAGGGTCTTATCATCCTTGACCTTTAGCTCATGGTGCTTCCATTGACCGTGAACACTGTCATACTTAAACATATATGTCTGCAACAATTGCACAAAATATAACATCACTACAAACTCATTCCATAACTACTAAATAGATAATTAACAGGGGTAGATCCAACTCAAATAAACTCGAAATGAGATCACAAGAAACTCAATCAAGTATATAGGAATTATATCTAAATCATGTTGGCAAAGCGACTACTACTTATAATCAGAGTAATCATTAAAATAATTTAAGAGAAATAGTTGGGTTTCATGTCCAGTGAAAGCTATAATTTGACGAATTGTGAGCAAATCGCTCTCGCAACAGATCCAGGGCACAAGATCCTGAACTCGAACCACAAAGTGTACCATAAGACTTGAAAAACGAGTGAAAATGAAAAAAGTACCATATAATCAACAGAGATGAACGGATCGTTGACCGCAACAAGCTCAACATCATCTCTCTGCAAAGCAACTCTAGCCACCAATCGGCCAATTCTTCCAAAACCTTCAAATAATCAAACATATTTACCAATATCCATGACATAAACAAATATTTAGAAAAGCAAAGCAATCATTGAGATCAGATCTAGTACCGTTAATTCCAATCTTGATCTTGCCTGTAAACACACAAACAATTAAAACAATTAAACTATTATTAACAAAAATCATCAAGCAATTAAAATAAAACTACAACAAACTAAGGTAAAAATTCTGACAATTACCCATTTCAGTAGTTGATAGTAGAGAGGGTAAACAGCAACAATAGGAGAAAAATGTGCAAGGAAAAGAAATTGGATTAGGAGGAATTTTATACGGGTTTAGAGGATATGTTAGTGTACATACGGTGTACTTTAATTTTCGTGCTCCTCGCGGTGGATCAACTGATTAGAATTGAGATGAAATGTGAGCCGTCGCCGTGATTGACTGATGTTAGGGTGTAGGTTATTAAGGTGGGGACGAGGGTCGGTTAGTGACGGTAGGTTCTGGAAGGTGTGTTTTTGCAGGAACTTTTTGTTGGGATTTTTATTTTTTTTTGTGGAAAATTTAAAGGAAATTGAAAAGTCGTGAGAAGAAAGACAACCACGAAATTAGTCCAAAAGTTGACCCGAGAACTCTTGATTTGCGTGACAAGAAGATAAAAGGAAAAGGTTTTCCTTTTCCTTTTTTTTTTTTTTTTTTAAACCTAAATGTTTGATCTTAAAATAAGTGCTTGTTTGATACCCATTTTGGAGGAAATAATATATTTTGAATAATAGATGGATGAAAAATATGTGATTAAAAATTAATGAAAAGTTTTTAATTTACGTGTAAGATTATTTTATTAAAAAATGTGTATTTGAAAATGAATTTGAAAAAAATGAATTTTTCGAAGAATGAAAATTAAACAAGGGTTCGTAGCTCTTTTTAGCTTAGATTAAATTTAGTCCCCATTTGGCCCCAATTATTTTTTATTATAATGCGGAGAATAGTGTTTTTTTTTAAATATATGGTTGTAAAAGAATGAAAAATTTTCGATTTACGTGTAATATTATTTTACTGAAAATTGTGTAATTGAAAATAAGAGAAAGAAAAATTTAAATTAATTTGATGAAGTTTAATGGGAGCCAAACGGGGCTTAGATTTTAAGTAATTTTGATAAAATTTAATTAAGGTTCTCATTCTTTTTTCATTAAAATAAAAAATATGACCGTTATACATCACATCAAATCATAAAATTTGAATTTTTATCTCTTGTGTGAGATCACTAACGACTATATTTTTTATTCTCATTCTTCCAAAAATAAGAAACAAACGGAGGCTAAATTTATAATTGAAAAGTTATGAGTTTTATGAAATCTATGATTAATATTAATTGTTGATTTTGACCTTTTTTTTTAATTGTACTGGACAAGAACATAATCTTGTTTTAACAAAGTAGTATGTTAAAACTCGAAATTACTTGTGTTATTATCAAGACTAGTGAAAGCGTGCGTTGCACGTGTAGTGGGAGATATAGAGTAAGTAATAGTGTCATAATTTGGTTAATTATGCAGTATTTGAATGAAGAATGGAACTTGCTTTGAATGATGATTATATTGAATTATATTAAATATTTGTTCACATGTACTTACATTGAGGGTGATAATATTTAGCAGTTATAAGCCATTTTAATATGTACAATGAACAAAATGTAGTACGCAAGTAGATATCTCCAGTTTACGCAGCCTCAGATTACACTTTTCCTTCATTTCCCTTTCTTGGTTCTGCCAATTGAAGGACAAAAAGCTACAGAATGGAGGAAGAATGAAAGAAAAGGTTCAAATAATGAAAACCAATTCGAAATAAAGACGTAAGGCAATGTTCATTCTTGCCCCCAACCTCGTATCACATATGCTGAAACTTTTTGGTCACTTTTAACTAATTAGTACTAAGTACAAGAATTCTTAATCAGGTTGTTCAGACTTAATTGTGAATACTAATTCTATTCAACTTGGGGCAATCCATAATAAAGGTAGCGAAGAGAATTTATGTTTAAAGGAAAAACTAAATAGATTCTTAATACATTAAATGGCTACTTATATTTGGGCATGCAGCCAAAGTTGACTGCGTTAATAATATATACTCATTAGTTCTGAACAAATTTTAAGAAATTATCTGTAAAACATATCCTCAATGCCATATATTAAAATTTGTTCAAGTAAATTTAAAATTCAAAATGACATGTCCTTCATCATTCATCTGTTCTACAAAAAAGCTTCCATCACCACATAGTTTAGTGCTTAGAATAAATGTGATTAACACAATGAAGAAACCGTAATTAGTAACTATTCTTGAGATTTCACCCATGATTGCAAATCACATATTTGGAGGTTTCGAAATGACCAAGAATTGTATGTCTGAGAGTTTTAAGATGGAAGGATAACATCGAGCGATAAAATTTTTTGTATACTGAAAGATGACAGTAACATTAACATAGTCAAAAGAAATTATAACATGTTTTTATTAGTACATACCTTAAAATTTTGCATTTCATTAAGAGTCTCATTCTTCAAGTCGCATTGATGTCCCACAAGCATATTTGGGAGTCATTTGAACCACTCAATAGATCACGTTGCTTGAATTCACTCCATGATAAAACATAGCCTTCTGTATAGTAACCTCTCAACTATAAATGAGGATTGCAAGCACCACTTGAAGGAGGCTTAGACGAATGTTTGCTATAATCAGAAACGTATACTTCAGTATTAACTGCATTGTTGGCAATAATCAAGCGAAAAATGCATCCGACCCCCCACCCCCAAATAAAATATAATTATATAAATGTGTTTATGCTTTATACAGTAAGAAATACCTAAGGGAGTCCCACATATATAGGTTGAGCAGCAATGACAGAGCTGAAATGAGACCCCACAAATGATATCTCCGACATGATGAAAGATCTATTTCAGAAGTAACTAATATGCAAAGACAACTTATTTTAATGCTTGAGAAATCTCTTCAATTATGAATCTTGAATAAAAAAGTAACAAGAGGAAAATGCAAATGTCATTGACAAAGAACTGATAAAGTAGCCGTTCCATAATATATATAAGCGGAGTCATCATTTTTTTTTTAATACATATCATACAAATAAATAACTATTTCTTTGAACAAGATTATAGTTTGTGAATAGAGAATATAGAAGGACAAATAGCAAAAGAATCTTGAAAATGAGGATAAAGCTGTACTAACCTTGGTTTATCAAAAGAGGTTTTTCTTGTTCTCTGTCGAGCAAACAGCTTTTATACGTACCAGCTACATCCTCATAACTAAAACCACCACAAGCAACCAAACAAACTTGAAGCTCCAAAAACCACCAAACGCGACACGTTTATAGTATACATGTACTTTGAAGAGATGCTCAATTTTCTCAAAACAAAAACAACGAAATGGTAAAAATGAGTTAGAGAATACTGGAAATATTCATGTCTAAATTCATTAATTGGTAAGGAAATATTATTAGAGGAATGTGTATCTGAAATCTAAAAAATAAAATATCACAGATGAACAAATATGTGCATAAAAAATACCATGGTCAATAGAGTAGCAACAGTCAATCCAATATTAGTGCCTTCTACCTTCTGTACAAGTACACGTGATTGAGATATTTATTTCAATAAAACATCTTATATGCATCCATCTAGCTGAAGATAAGAATCACAAATGAAATAGATCATAGATTGATCAAGCAACAATAAAAATAAAAAATGACTCAAACTTCGCTTACGTAAAATTTCCATCCAGAAATGCAGACCTTGTAAGTACAGTGGAAAACAAAAAAAAAAATGTCAGCACTGATGTATTGTTTACAAAAAGAAACACAAAACGCCATATCTATTGGCAAGGTAGAATTTAATATAATTGGCAACTTTGTTAGATGTCCTCGACATTACTCGAGGCATTAAGTCTCAAATGAAGAATATGACTAAATTACGATAAGAGAGAGCTAGAAATATGAACATGGTTACATAAAAAAAATGTCAAATTCGGTGCCTTAAAAACTGAAAAGGTTGATTTGTATCATATATTTACTGGATGGATTAAAGTGTATTAATTTACCATCAATCTCATTGATCGTGAACCCTAACAACATAAGAAAAATGAATACATTAAGCTGAACGAAAGATGCACGTGTAATTATCAAAAATAAAATACATAAAATTGTAGAGCATAATCAAGGCAAGGCACAATTTATTCTAAGAGTCTCAGATCCTATATAGAGATTCTTACACTAAAATGGAAAATTTGCCCAAAAAAATATATAACGAGGGGGAAAGAGAACAAACATGTATCCTTGTTCTCAGAGCTGTCTAAAATAATTTTCAATTCCGTACACAACAATAAAGATAAAGAATTTAAATTTGTACAAGAAATTCATGTATAAATCAGTCGAAAGAGTGAAAGCTCAACAGGGGTGAAGTCAAGAATATTGTCCATTGTGGATGAAAACATATTCATAATATATGAATTTAATGGAGCATTTCTTTAAAAAAAATTAAAAAAATAAAAATAAAGGCAACTCTCTTTTGTGTCATGTTGAAATTTAGCTAACTTTAAGGTACAATTACTATCATTTTGGTTGTAGTTGAATTTTATTACTCAGTGTATATTGAATTAAAGAAATGAATAATCACCTTAGGCTCCTTACAATCAACACTGTGGCAGTGGCCTCTTCTAAAGCTTCTGCTGCAGCTTTGGAAGCAACTAATCTCATTTGCATTGCTTCCTGTATCATGAAAATATAACTAATCATATTCCAATTGCTGTAGATTAGATTTAAATAAATGTATTTTCCATCTAACAATTTTCACTTTTATGAGTTTATTGAACATAGTATAAAGCAGGCAAGACTTTAAGTTTCACCCTCGTCCGCTTATGAAAATTTTGCACGTATATGTTGATGAAATATAGATTCACATTGCCCGTGATGTGTGTTGAAGACCAAATTTAAATACATAAACGTTTTCCCGTCTTACGAGTAACAACTTAAAGTTTTAGATTAGCTCGTTGAACATAACTGTGAAGGATTCAAGGGAGTTAAATACAGCAATTGAAGTAAGCAGTGAACACAACAACTTCTTGTTATAGAGTCAATTAAGTTCAAAACAAAATATACCTTCCCAAATAATGTGAGGCCTGAAGAGAGTGTATCCAATGGAATACATCCATTAGTCCATTTCTTTTCATGAATAGTGATTACAGGAGATGAATCATTTGGATTCTCAGCCATGTTAGATTTTTTTTTTATCTAAGTGTAATAGGATTGTTGCTCATTTACATCACTTAACTGCTTAGATATAGTAGCCTGTAAAATTATAACATATAACTAATGGATGTCAAGGAAGACTATTGTTGATTAACGTATACATCAACTAACATTCATACAGGTACAGGTAAATTAGAGTGCTAGCACCTTTAACTCAGCTCAAACCTATCATAAAGAATGATAAAATACGAAAACACGTGTTTTCTTTTGTCAAAAATCCCTTATGACATTTATTGACTTTCAAATAAATTTTATCTGCCAATACCATATTAGTCTTCCCTCCCTTTCAATGCCACATGTTGTAGCTGAGTTATGCATAAATTAGATCATATGATCCATCTATGAATTAAATAAAATCTCTCATTTATCTGATTTGGTCCTCAAAACTTGTTTTCAAGTATTTTTACTAATAATGAAGTTCTTCTCTTCAAATAAATTGTCTCTCAAAAATTTTTAATAAAAAACAAAAATATTACCTCCTTGAAGTGTGTCACAATCTTCTTCTGTAGTCACGTTTAATGCTTTGAGAAGAATTGATTAATTCTATGATTTCTTTGAATAAATTATTTGGATATATTGGTTGAATACGTTCTTGTTTTTCTTAGCAGGAGCTTAGCCAAATAGAGTTTCTATCATTTTCTCATTGAACATGTTCATAAAAGTATTTACTTCCATATATCAATTAATTAACAAACAACGAGGGACAATACTTACTAGAAGGACCTTGATTTGATTTGGCATCATAACATAAGCATTTCCACATCTGATGATGATAATGTTTGGCATTGCTAAAATCTGCCCTAAAATCCTCAAGTTGACAAACTGCACTGGTATGCTCCAAAAAATCCCAAAAACGAATACATCAAGAAATAAACCAAAAATTTTAATCTTCCAAACATCATCATTCATTCATGAAAACATGCCTCATATCATGGCTTTTACTAATCTTCATGGCACAAAAAAAAATCTAGAAAACGAACACATCGTGAAATAAACCAAAAAAATTAATGAATGATGGATTCACAGACTCAGTAATCAAGAAACAATTCCCTTTCTGCATCAGTAAAATAAAAATTGACAAATGAAGCCAAATAAAAAGATGGCCATTTCTTTTATCTTTTTTTTTTTATTATAACGAAGTTATGGGAAAAGGATAGAAGAATCTTTTTGAAATGTGTATTACGTCATTATATAAAAAAATTGTGATTTTTACAACCTCAATTGGTTAGTGAACAAAATATAGCTCAATCCCTTTGATGATGATTTTTTTCATATTGTTGGAATGGTGGATATATACTTTACTTGCTACTATTTCAATTATGTGATGCGCATTCAGTATGGATCATATTCACATATACTCTTTACTCTTTTACTTTAGTTGAATCCTCTGAGCTAGGAATTGGCATCCATGGCTCTATATGTGGAACTATATTCTCTTACATGATTTGATTCAACAATTTTATTATTTATTTATTTCTCAAAAAAATAAAAAAATTACAATCTCAAAACCGAACTTCTGAAACTTGGACGTAGCAATTGATTTTACATATCTCCTAGGAGAAATCAATTGACAAGTAATGATGCAACTAATTCATACAAAAGGATTGTCAGTTTAGTTTACTTGTTAAACTATAGTTTTCACTTGGACATAATAAATTGTAAAGAAGCATGCCAAAGTGTATATCGCAGAACACCGATCTACTAATTTTGAAAAGATCAAACCAGTGAATTTATCTCTATAATAAAAAGATGCATTCAACAAAAATTTCACGTCAAATTGTCTTAGTTAACTCATAAATGCAACCTGAAGGCAAGCAATATGAAGAGCTACATCCTGATGGAAGATAGCCCTTACTTTGAAACAGTAACGAATATGTAACTCTATTGAGCCAATGTTTTTTTCTTTCAAGATGCGCTTTAACTCTTCGCACTTCATCTCTATAATATGTATTTGCAAGTTCTGCACATGCAATTCCTAGCCTGAAACAAGGTAGCTACTTAGTATTCATATGTATTAACTTAAAGAGAAGGAGTTCACAATATAAAACATTAAAAACAATGAGGATTTTATTCCCATAACAGTATAAATAACAATTTATAGAGAGATTTAACAATATTTACTAAAGCAGGATAAAGGAAAACAAATTGATACCATTTTCCCATATAATCTAGGGTGTTCTAAATCTGGAAATGCTACCTGAAAGTATCAACTCCACAGCCACTTGATCCTTCTGCTCATGAAACTGTATCAAGAAAACATGAAATGATTAGAAAAAATCAAGTACAAGTTCAAATAGACTATCCTAGATAATAAATAAATAAATAAATAGAGCTTTCATAATGTGATCTAAGCAATAAGTAAATTATTTTCAATAAAGCGTGGGGATAACAAAATTAATTATCAAACAACATGTATAAAAGCAATTATTGCTATTAAAACACAAACTAAAAGAGTACAAGTATACAACCATCAGATATATGAACAGCATCGATAGAAGCTACTTGCAATTTGCAAATGATGACTCATCAACTGTTAAAACCTTTCTCCGGTGGCTTTTTCTACCTTGCCTGAAGATCTTTCATGTCTCTCATCTCTCCTTGATTCAAGCCCTTCCCTATCTCCCAAATCAGCCAAAAAATCTCTGATATACCGACAACAACCTCCTCTAATCCTCGTGAAAGCATTAAAAGTGAAGATCGAACAAAATTTTAAACTTCTAAGCTAGATGAAGGTAAACGAAGAGGAACCCAGCTAAATTTTCATGTATAGACAGAAACGACAACAACATACCTTAAATAAAGCTGAAGAAAATAACAAAGACCGGCAGAAAACTCGCTTCTTCGCAGATTCAGGCGAATGGTGAATGCTTTGTCGGAACATATCGTTGAAGGCCACGACAGTATGGTTGTTGCTAAAAGAACAGACGAAATGGGGCTAGGGTTTCCTTTTGTCGAGTGAAGATGAGGATGAAAATGAAAACCGAGCTTTGAAGAAAGAGATTTTCAGATTTTAGTCTAGAAAGAAGATAAAATAAAACAAGGCAACAGACAGATTCTGATTCATTTCCAAGTTCCAACGCCTCCCCACTAACTGAGCCGACCTAACATTTGGCTTGTGAGCCAACCCAAACGACTTGTGAACAGTAACCTTTCTACTGCCTCTTTTATATGTAGTTAGAAATATTCTCTTCTTTTCTTGCCTACTTCAATGTACAACATGATTAAACGAATATTAAAAGATGAGTCCAAATTTGTTGTTCTATTTTACCATCCCAATTCTATATCTCATAAGATTTATTATGATTATGTAAGAACATTCCTATTGTTTTAAATGTTTTAATGCAAGTATAATCATTAAAATTCGAATCGACACTCTTCCTTTCAATTATACAAGACTTGGCAACAATGTCATTTGATGAGTCCGGTTTATTCTTATAACATAATTATGTATATTCAATTTGAACAAAATAATTGGTATATTTATATTTTACATCTTGTTTGATTCCCATTTTTGTTTCAAAATACATTTTTCTCTTTTCTTTTCAATCACACATTTTTCAATAAAATAATATTATACGCAAACTCAAGACTTTTCTTTATTTTTAGTCACATTCTCTATTAAATTACTATTCCAAAATGATTTTTTTTTTTTTTTGCAAAAAAGGGTACCAAACGGGCTCTTAATATTTCATTACAGCCAACGGTAGACGGTCAACGGTCGTCCATGCTAACTCAAACTTCTGAATTCGCCCCTGATTGTCTTGCTAGTTACTCCTAAGACTGAGTCTTTGCATCGACTATGAAGAGAACTTACTCGTTATTGAACGATGATCCAGAAAGTCTAGGTGCTTGTGGTGGTTTATTTCATTTGCTTCTTCATATATTCTAAGTATCCCGGCTATTTCACGTGCCAAGTTACAACACTATTTCCGATATATCAAAACCGTGTTCATTTTCCCTCTCAAAGAAGATGAAGACTAGATCCATATCTATATATGTATATCCTTTGTAATTGTGTGTGATTTTTGTTCCTTTTTAGCCACAAGCATGGCATTGTCTAAACTTTTGTAGTAACATGACTTTGTCATTAATGAAGAATATATTAATTATTTTTTCCTACTTAGAATTTTATTCTCCACGTGATCATGGTCCATTATTCACATTCGATTTGTTATAGCAAGGATAACTCTCATCTCTCTCTATTTATCTAATTACAAACTAGTAATAACTAATTGTGATGCAGTGGAGATGTTTTAATATTAGAGTAATGTTATTTGTAGTTCTCAACTACTGTAATCGTCTTATATGACATATATTTATCACTTGATTTTTTAATTAATAATGCTCAAAATGGATGATTAAGTGATTAAATATATATCACATAGGATGAATACGGTAGTTGTTCATTACGAATAACATTACTCATAATATTATGTTGCAGATAGTTAAGCCACCTAAATCTGGTACTCTTCCCATTTCTCTAACTTAAACATGATACAATACAAAACATACCAAATGCACACACAAATATGGATAGTAAATTACTTTCGGGATCGTTCAATTGAGTGATAGTGATGATTACAAGCTTCTTCAGTTGATCATGATCATTTTTCCACATCTCGTTCAAATTGACGTCGATAGCCATCATAGAAATCATTCGGTATTTTTGCTAAACATGTATATGTAAGTAAATTTATCGATAATCACCAATGTTAATCTTGCCGTGTAAAGTTATTGATGGGACTCTGACCTTCAATATGCGCCAACTCGAAAATTTCAATCAAAACGTAGGGTTATCGAGGGAATATCAACCTTTAGCGATGGAAATAACCTTCTTTGGAAGTGCACATTCTAGTAGTATACTAACTACGGTCTATAATAAAATTACAAGTAATTTATTTACACTCTGATGGCAATGTCGTAAAGAATCTCACCACAGAAAATTAAAAAAAAAAGAACACAAAACAAGGATAGTAATAATAATCTGATCATGTCCCTTCTGAATATTTTATTTCGCTGATAGTTTACATTTTTGGGAGCTGGAAGTGACATGAATAGGGAAAAATAACTTGAAATTACTTTGTAACTAAAGAATGAAAAAAAATGTTAACTTTGATGTACACAAAACCAATAGAATCAGTTTATTTCATTTGAACAGCTCCCATACAATATGTTCAGATATTAACTCCAAACTAGTCTTAAGTGACTGAAATTTTCGACTAAAAAATATTGTTGTTGTTGTTATTATTATTATTGTTGTGTGTTTTTTAATCTTATTTTCGTGAGACTCAATCCAACATAAAGCTTAGAAAAGGAAATTATTTTTAGCATTTCCAGCAAGAAAGCAGTCACAATGAGCTTAGATTTCCATCCCAGAACAAGGCAACCCTTTTTCTCTACAATGGTGTAGCCTTCACAGGCAATGCCGTTGTTTAGCCATTGTTTGGCTTGAGCAAACATCTTTAGTTGTGCAGGTTGAAATCCAGCTTGACTTATCCTTCTACGCCATTGGTCGACCCTCTCGTGCTTTTCCATCCTGCCCAGTCCTTCGTAGCTAACGATGTTCTTGATTTCCTCAACGAAGTAGTATTGTTCCATCTTAGCACGTTTTGTGTCGTATTTAGGCAGCATGGCATCGGGGGAGTCCAAGATTGCGGAGTAATAGTGTAACGCTTCCATGAATCATCCCAAGAAGAAAGGTCCACTGTGGCTCGAGTCTTGCTCAACAAGAACTAAAACCTTTGGCGAGAGCTCATGTATTATCTGAAGAACCGAGTTTAAGGCACCCTAGCTTTCTTTCACCATACAATGTAGTTGCAGACGCTGTTGACTACAAGGACCTCCCCAGGAAGGACCTTGATGTCACGAGCAGAATGACATAGCATTCTCCAAAATGGGCATGCATGAAAGTCTAATTCATAAATATCTAGACTACCATGTCATCAAATTATCAATTTTTTCGTTATTAGCAGTTTAGTTCGTGAATATAGCTAAACTGTCACATCATCAAGTCGCTTAGCAGACTAATACACATGGACGGATTGATCATAAACTCTAGACCAATCAACTTGAAATAAAAGAAAGTTCACCGACTAACATGAAAATGGGCTAGTCGACTCATTGGGCTCGGATCAATTTGTGCTCGTATCATGGATGAATCGAGCCAGCTTGGTTAATAGAAGTTTGGTTCGGCTTGCTTCATGATCTCGTTCCTTGATAGGACAAATCGTTCGTAACTGGCGGATATATTAAGTAACTTCTGGTGGGCCTTATCTATTTTTAGGTTCATTAGGATTCTTAATGATAGGAACTTCAAGTTATCTCAATAAGTCCTTAAATTACTATACTATTATTCTTTGATTATTGTACTATTGTCATTGGATTAATGTACTATATTTTACTGAAATTTCATTTGTCATTCATTACATGAGTTGCTTGCAAGCTCAAGACGAGCTGGCTCGCATGCAAGCCAATATGTGCCAGTTGCGAACGACTCACTCTACATAACACTGCTATGTTATGTATTTGAATAAAGCCAGTTAGACAAGCTAAAAAATATGGAAGCAAAGGACAGACTGATTTGGCAAAAAATGGTTGGCTATGGTTTTTTTTTCTTTTTTTTTTTAAATTTTTGAAAGTGTCCAATCATACTTCAACACGTGTCAACTGTGTTTTTCACCCTATTTTTGAGCATGTCTCTATAGCATTGTTGTACGAATTTTGGTTGCGTCTGAAAACTTGTAAAGAACTAAAATTTCTTTCTTGCTTTTGTAATGTACAACTAGCAAATACAGTGTATATTAGGAAAATTCTATGGAAATAAGACATTCGACCTAATTAAGTTTTCTATACAAGTAAGCTATCTAAAGAAGATAAATATACAACTCATTCTTGACAATAAGCACGTGGAGTATGCGGATTTTAACACGCCCCCTCAAGTTGGAGCATGAGGAATGTAAATGCCCAACTTGCATATGAACTATGTGAAGAGATCAACACCAAGTGCCTTGGTAAGGATGTCCGCAAGCTGAGTTGAGCTAGGAACATGGGCGGTGGTGATGAGGCCAGATTTAAGTTGCTCATGAACAACATGACAGTTGATATCTATGTGCTTTGTGAATTTATGGAATATGGGATTGCAAACAATATGTATTGTCGACTGGTTGTCACAATAGAGGAGCATTAGTTGGGGATGAGGGATGCTAAGGTCATGAAGTAATGTACGTAGCCACATAAGTTCACAAGTGACATTGGCTATGGCATGGTTTCGGCTTCTACAGAAGATCTAGGGATGGTAGATTTCTTATTTTAACACCAGCAAAGAAGTTCAGTAAATGAGTTTCAAACATTCCTTTCCTAATGAAAATACGCATCGTCATTAGATGAAAATTGGCCAGCAAATGAGTTTCATACATTCCTTTCCTGATGATCTGAACGACTATAACTCAAAACGGATACAGAGGGCCTTTAATTTACTTTCATAAGTACAAAAAATATGCCTTAAGATTTCTAGCAATATGTTTTCAAAATATATACCCAATCTGTTAAATATAACAACGTGTTTACAATTTACATGCTAAAATCATTTTTACATTGGACAAAATCAAAATTCAAAAGCTATTCCAAAAAAAAAAAAGTGTTTTCCCCACTTTAGACACTTGGCTGATTCAACAACTTGCTCACATGCTTGCTTCACTGTAACAACAGGATGCATACAAATATTATGAATGAATATACATTTTTTAGAAGATATTATCACTATACTAGACCACTTACCATATGTTATATTCGACAAAGAATGCAAAAAGTTTAGCAACTCCCATCACAGCTTGCATATAAAAACAGAAACATTGAATTCAAACACGTGCACCTAAGGCACTATGATTTGCATGGATTCTTTTCCGTGCCTTTGACGTTCTCATATTGGCAGATTCCGCATCCCCATGTCAATCAAGTCGTCCAAGACATCTTCAAACTTCACATCATCAGTTGGAACATCAACCGGAACCGACTGAGTGCAAAATGTTGCTATTGGACCAGATTTCAGCCCACTCGAATGCCTTCACGAGATAACATCAAGGTTTCGTTCCCAGGATTATGGTCGATGATGCCCGCTGTCTCTTTTTTGGAACTATATTACCCTACATAATTCAATCATTAACATTATCAGATTATTTACGTAATCCACAAAATATCATGACGAACATTTACAAAAATAATTCAAAAAAGTACTAACTCATTCGTCGACCACTCTATTGTAATGTGTGCCAACTGGTTCTAGATTACCTTCAAACCAATCTTATCGATGAAAAATGAAAGTTAGAATACATTTTTCGAATGAACACCTGAAAGAAATCAAGATCATACTCATAGAATTCGAAGCATCCGGCCTAGAGTGGTATTACTTGTTGTGAACAACTGCATATACAATGGGAGATGCAATCATTAGCGTCAATAACAATTGCAGTTAACATTACCTCTCCGAAATGACCCCTTAAGTGAAAACTGTGAATACCTTCTGCCTTTCTACAATCATCTCGAAAACCTAGCTTACAATAATTGAAATATATGTAGATACCTTGAAATATCTGTTCAATGCAATAATGACTATCCAACATTTGTCGGGAGTACCTCGGCTGGATAAAAACTCATTCACCTAAACGGCTATTGCAAATTTCCTACTAAAACATTTTTTGGCACATCTCTGCATCTTCCATGCTACATTTCTGCTAATGTTTGTGTGGGGATCATTCTTCACCCTTGCCAAAATTAGCTCGATCTTCTAGTTCGGGTTAGCCTTGAATTGTTTTATATATCGACACGTCAAGAATAGATAATTGTAGTGTCTATTAAATTGGTCCCGAATACAAGCTTGCTCCGAAGTGTAAGGTTTTACTTGCATACTCTCTAATACATCCATTTTAGAAGCCCATATTCGCCATTCGCAGCCCAATTTACAAATTTTTTGGACTCTTCTTTCATCATTTGGCTTAAACTTTATGTTGTACCTATTCAATACACCGTACGTTCGTACCCCTTCTCAAAACTTTGATGCGGAACAGAATATTTGACCTACCTCGAACTGAGGATTTTTCATGTCCTGAACAAAATTGAATTTTGGAAAGTGATAACTACAATCCTTATCAGATGAACATTGGGAGAGTAGTTCCTCCTCCGACAATAATTCCAATTCATCCAAATTGTTATCCCCGCCCTCTTCTCATGGTTCATGCACTCCATCTGAATAGATGTCCGATCCAATTTCAATCCCATCAGTAATTTTTTTTATCATATTCGATGTCGTCTTCTTTGAACTCAAAGTCGGGTCAAATTCTATGAAGTTTGGATCTTTGTCACAATCTGTCATACAATTAAACCACATTAACCAAGAATACACCTAAACTGTCAAATAGAAAACAACAAATTGTGGCCAAACTAAAGAATAATTGTTTGATACATTAGCTATTGGACATTGCTTTGTGAGTATGAAGAATATTGCTAACCCTTATGTGTGGCCGAAAACAATCAAGAAAAAGCATCCATGCCTATCAACATTCCAAGTTATATGACAACTCAATAATCGAAGAACACATGTAAAAACCTAGAAAATTATTACTGCGAACCAGGCAGATGTTCATTCTTAGTTCTGCATATACCGTCCAAACAAACGAAGGTACACCAACATTTTTTTATATGAAGACACAAATATATATCAAGTTAAAATAGAAATTCAAGAAAAGGAAATCATATAACATATGTTGACAATAACAACTAAGAAACAGAAGTAAAGTAGTGATCCTAATGTCAAAACTTAGCACATAACAAAACTTATGGGAGTTGGAACTTAAAAAGAACTAGCAGGGGCTAAAAAAGTTAAGTTCTGCTCGTCCCTGCAGAGCTTACCAGTTGAAATTGTTCAGTGATATAAAATTAAATTTATCTATTTCTCTTTAGCACCTGTATGAACTCTCGTACCCATGAAAAAACACAAAAAAGTTTGAGATTTTTCCTTCGTGTTGTTTGTCCATTTGCTTGAGTTACAAAAATGGATTGGATGTTAGTTCTTCATGCTTCAATTGGACCGTTGGAGTAGTCAACAACGACAGGAATGACCTTGATTTCAAGCTCATGTTATTGATTGTCGAATTCGAATTTGGGGATTTAGGGTTTCTAGTTCGCTTTCGATTTCTTTATTAGGTGTGTTTCTGAAATGATTCAAGGAAAGTGAAAGGTGTTTATGAAATGATTTCTCAAAGGCGTGTTTTAATATGCTGATGTGGTCGATTATTTGGTAAAACATTCACACTTGTAAGGATTTAACCAGCCAGCTAGATTTTTCGTCTGCCACGTAGACTCATCAAGTAACAAACCTGATTCGGTGGTTAATGGGCACTAACGGATTAAAGTCCCGTGGCCATTAGGAAAAGTTTGAAAATTCGGTGTGTGAGCTGTGACATGATATAAAGTTCAGTGACTAATGAAACATTTAACTCTATTCTTTTTATCAAGGTTAACTATGTTAATACAACAATTTTTTTTTATATCTATACCACATTTTAATTATAAGAAATGTTTCCAATATTTGTTCACTTTTATATTTATGTCCTCAAAATTTTTTGTTGCATTGACATTCTTAACCTTTGATTAATTAATATATTTTTATCTCTAATCACGATTTTCATTCAAATATTCTACTAACATACATTAAAAAGATGGGCAAATATTTTTTTTTTAATTTTTGTATTAGTTATTTATTTCGATTATTTAAAAGTACAAGAGATATGTCTTTTTGGCCACATGACAAAGCATTTTGGACGAAAATCATCTCTATATAGAAGATGTGAAAATTGATAGACGGTTAATGGTATTTAAAAAAAAAAAAAAAATGGTTAAGAATATAAGTGTAAAAACAAGAAAGTTTAGGAATGTTCATTGTAATTAAAATATGGTGTGGTTAACAAAAATTATAGTGTGAATATATTTACCCTTTTGTTAATTCATTAAAAAAAGACCCGGTTTATTTCACATAGTTGAATTTTCGGAATAGCAATGGACCGTTACGTGGTTCATTCACACATTTGATTTGTGAGAGATCGATTTGTGTTAAGCAAAGCCCGTGAACTAAACCAAGCTTGACATGTTTGTCAACGATTCAAGTCACGTTAGCCTCATGGGCTTAACCGGCCATCGGCGCTCGGCTCATTGGTAAGCCCAAGTTAAAATGCAAAAATGGAAGAGATAATCGCTAGGGAAGTCATGCCCGAAAATAGTATAATGGTGTAAGGTTGTGGAAGATAAGAAAATTGAGTTGTGTAAACTTCCCAGGATGGAGAAAGTAACATGCGATTTTATTGGTGTACTGAAATCAATCACATTGATTGTAACTCGACTTGTTTCCTTATTAATTCAAAAGACATTCTAAACTGTCTTTTGTTTTATTGTCGGGGAAGGCAACACCACAACCACAAGAAATAAAATACCCACAATTCAGGATTGGGATGACAGCGTCAAGAGATAAAGGTTTGGTATTTATTTGCAATTTCATAAAGGCTAGGGATTTCACTGCAATTCTCTGATTAATAAACCCAACGACGTCGTCGGCTGTATTCTATCCCCAAAACACAATTCCAGATATCCGTCTCTCCCTATCTCTTCAGCATGGCAACAGCGGCAGTAGCCGAGGCCCGGAAGGTACCGCGGCCTGGCCGGGGCGGAGTAATCCCTCACGGACTATCCGAAGAGGAGGCCCGTGTCCGGGCTATTGCTGAAATTGTAAACAACATGGTAGACCTCTCTCGCAAAGGCCAAGATGTGGACCTTAACGCCCTCAAGTCCGCTGTGTGTCGGAAGTACGGACTCTCGAAGGCCCCGAAGTTAGTAGAGATGATTGCAGCCCTGCCCGATTCCGAGAGGGAAGCCCTCTTGCCCAAGCTCAGGGCCAAGCCTGTTCGCACTGCATCCGGGATTGCTGTTGTGGCCGTTATGTCAAAGCCTCACAGATGCCCGCATATTGCCACGACCGGAAATATTTGCGTGTACTGCCCGGGTGGGCCAGATTCGGATTTTGAGTACAGCACGCAGTCTTACACTGGATATGAGCCCACCAGCATGAGAGCTATTCGAGATAATCATTTATTAGATAATAAACAATTAAGTTTTCCTTACCCTTTTAGAAAAAATAAATAATTAAACGTTAGGGACCCAGGTGAATTTTATTTAATTTTTAGAGAAAAATTCAATTTAACAAATATAATCATTTATTAGATAATAAACAATTAAGTTTTCCTTACCCTTTTAGAAAAAATAAATAATTAAACGTTAGGGACCCAGGTGAAATTTATTTATTTTTTTTAGAGAAAAAATCAATTTAACAAATATAATCATTTATTGGATAATAAACAATTAAGTTTTCGTATTCTTTTTAGAAAAAATAAATACTCTTTTTTTCCCACGAGTTACGTCTGTTAAAAATTGTACAAAGGGTTTTACATACACCTTGCAATCCTGCCGGAAAACCCAACGACGTCGTCGGCTGTATTCTATCCCCAAAACACAATTCCAGATATCCGTCTCTCCCTATCTCTTCAGCATGGCAACAGCGGCAGTAGCCGAGGCCCGGAAGGTACCGCGGCCTGGCCGGGGCGGAGTAATCCCTCACGGACTATCCGAAGAGGAGGCCCGTGTCCGGGCTATTGCTGAAATTGTAAACAACATGGTAGACCTCTCTCGCAAAGGCCAAGATGTGGACCTTAACGCCCTCAAGTCCGCTGTGTGTCGGAAGTACGGACTCTCGAAGGCCCCGAAGTTAGTAGAGATGATTGCAGCCCTGCCCGATTCCGAGAGGGAAGCCCTCTTGCCCAAGCTCAGGGCCAAGCCTGTTCGCACTGCATCCGGGATTGCTGTTGTGGCCGTTATGTCAAAGCCTCACAGATGCCCGCATATTGCCACGACCGGAAATATTTGCGTGTACTGCCCGGGTGGGCCAGATTCGGATTTTGAGTACAGCACGCAGTCTTACACTGGATATGAGCCCACCAGCATGAGAGCTATTCGAGCAAGGTATTTTTATTTTATTTTATATCTTGGTAGCCAAGGTTCAAGTTTGAAGGTATAATTTATAAATGTTCTTTCTAGCTTGAATCATTTAATTGCCATTTTCTTTTTTCACAATGTATTCACGTGATTGAGCCCTCTAGACATCGTTATTAATGTTGGGAGAAGTTTCTAAATTGGTTCATCACCTAAGTTCATATAATAGATGTGAAGGAAGAAAATAGCTGGGAGGAGGGAGAGGGGAAATTTGTTTCCATTTCAGGGCCCACATTATTGTTGGTTTTCCTGAAATAACCACCAGGGAATTCAATGTTATATTAATTTCGCTTGGCTTTTTACCAATTACCAGTTAACTTATCACTTACGTTAAAGAAAAATGTTATTCTTTTTGTAAAAGAAATAAGTGAAAGATATATATGAAGTATTTGATTGACATTTATACTCATATTCCAGATATAACCCCTATGTCCAGGCGAGAAGCAGAATTGATCAGCTTAAAAGGTTGGGTCACAGTGTTGATAAGGTATGCTTTGTCTTCTCATGCTGAAATTTGTCCATTTGATTTCTGGATCTACTTGTTTCTCATGAATGTTAACAATGCAGGTTGAATTCATTTTGATGGGTGGTACCTTTATGTCACTACCATCAGAATATCGTGATTATTTTATAAGGAATCTTCATGATGCGTTGTCAGGGCATACTTCTGCCAATGTTGAAGACGCAGTGACCTATTCTGAGCATAGTGCAGTAAAATGTATTGGAATGACCATTGAAACGTGAGCTGCATTGATTATTTTTTATTTTTTTCTTATTTTAATTATTGTGGGCATATATGCAATTCCATCCATTCCGTCTTTATCATAGTGAGTACCAATTGTGAATAGATTTTCAAGGATTCTACTTACTGGGCATTTATTGGAATCATATAGAAATGTGGATAGTGATTCTCTAGCTTTAGTCAATATGTTTCTTTATACTATTAGTCTTTTTATACTGTCGAGTTATAGTTAAGCCCTGAAAGGGATGGATAAAATGGAATAACTAATACTATTTATTAATAGGGCTGTAAATGAATTGGATCTGCCCAAATTCTATCTGATTTGATAAGAATAATTATCCAATTCAATATGATAATCTAACGGATATTTGATTGTTAAATCCATATTCAATCTGTTATATTATCGGATATCTGATCCGAAACTTAAAAAATTAGAAAGATAAAAATTTTATATTAGTTAACTTGTAAGCCCTAGAATTAAAAGGTCCAGATTGCTTTTTACCCAATTATTGGCCCACCTATTTATAGATTGGAAATTTTATGATATTCTAGTGAGTATTCGATGTGGAAAGCTGGAAATAATGAAAGCAACTCCAACTGTTGGCTCCTTTGATTGTTTAATTATAAAATAAATTAATTATTATTTTTATCTTATTTTAATTAATAAAAAATAAAAACTCTTCAAATATTTCAGTTAACAATATTATACTATTATTCAATATTATTCGAAATTTATGTTTAAAGTATAATACAAGTTTCAAAATGAAAAAAAAATATGTGTAATAAATTTTGTGATAATATATAAAATATATTATATTATAAGAAATCGGATTGGATTGAACTATATCCATATTTATTTTATTTAGTTAACGGATTATCGGATTCGCATCTTGATCGGGTCATCGGATTGAGACCTTAAAATTCATCTCTCATTAATTTCATCGGATTCGGATCAAAATCCAATCCATTGACAGCCCTATTTATTACGTTGCCTACTGCTAGATGTTGACCTTCACTGGGTAACAGTTCCTATTCATACATGGCTGTGGTCTTTGGGATTTCATATTTGTTGCGTGATTTTCTGCAAGTCCGCAACAATGACACCTCATTTAAGTGACATATTGGCATTTGTTGTGATATAACAGAAGGCCAGACTATTGTCTTGGGCCACATTTGAGGCAGATGCTTTCCTATGGTTGTACACGACTGGAGATCGGAGTGCAAAGCACATATGAGGATGTCGCTCGTGACACCAATAGGGGCCACACAGTAGCAGCTGTGGCTGATTGCTTTTGCTTGGCAAAGGATGCTGGTTTCAAGGTGTTTCTCTCAACCATCTTGTATACATAAATTTTTTATTCATCCAATTACTATGATTTTGGCCTTGAAGGAAGCATTTCCTTGCATATTTTCCTCAATAAATGAAAAGAGGTTTAGCTACCTGGAGCGTGCTTCCCATTTAACAAAACATTTGCACAGAAAAGCCTATCTGTAGATAATGGATACGGTTTCCTAAAGGTAATAGCAGGCTCTTAAGAGGGTACTAGGCATCTGAACATTTCTCCTAGTTCTGTGGTTTTGAAACTTGCTTAGTTTTAACTTCAATTGGGAACCAAGTTAACTTAATAATTTGAGGGCAAGTTTGGTTTCAAGTTCTGGGAACTGTTGATATTTACGAAGTTGGAAGTGAGCAGTAGTAATGGAACATTTCTACTAGTTCTATGGTTTTAAACTTGCATACTTTTTCCTTCACTTAGGAAGCAAGTTAAGCTTGATAATATGGACGGTTAAGTGATGACAAGTTCAGTTTTAATTTCTGGGAACTGTTACTTCTACAGAGTTGAAGACAGAAGAAACCTACGACTCACTTCTTGACCAATTAGGAGTTCTTCTGCATCACACTACATCAAAAGAGCCTCAAAAGATGTAAACAGTTCAATAATGTAATAGCCTTGGCCTCTAGCGTTTTACGACATAATAAAGAGCTTCAGGCAAGGTATCATGAGAGACTAACCTTCTTGATGTAATGGATGCTTATGTTGTCACACTAATATTGGGATGTCCAAAAGATTGAATTTATGACTACCTAATTGTTCCAAATCCAACCAGAGAATCATGATTGAATACTCATTTCGGGGTCTGGACTTCTTTTACTCTACAACGATCGGTCAAATCTAGCTGGGCATTGTCCCTTCTCTTGATTTCAGAAGAGTACATGTAACATGTAAGCTTTGAAGTCCATTACATTTATCAAGACTTGGCATGCCAAAGTCTCATAAACTTGAAACTGAAGGCATGACTTCCAAACCATAAAATGCACCTGCTAAAACTTCTGGCTGTAGAGCTACTTGTGTTTAGGGAGTTCCTGAGACATCCTAGTGAAAACAAACTCATGATGTATCAATTGAGAACATAAGTTATTATTCAACATCAATGCAGGTCCTCCATATAGTGCCAATTTAAAGATTGTGTTGTGGAAGTATCTTCCCTTACTTTTGTGTAATGGTAACACTATTTTGCTTAATGTTAATATCTTTAAAATGAAGAAAAGAAGTCTGTGAAAATATATTCTTACGGCCTTGTGATGGAGGTACTGACAACATTTATAATGCAGCAGAGTATATGCAGCCCTTTAATATTTCAACATGGTTTGCTATTTAATGCTGTTTTCATGGCTCAATCTTGCAAACTTCTGATTACAGACCCCTTTTTATTTTGTTTCCCATGGTTCTAAGTTTCATGTGTTTTATTATAGGTAGTTGCTCATATGATGCCTGATCTTCCAAATGTTGGGGTTGAGAGAGACTTGGAAAGTTTCAAGGAGTTCTTTGAGAGCCCTTCATTTAGGGCAGATGGGCTTAAAATCTATCCCACACTCGTGATTCGTGGAACTGGTCTTTATGAACTTTGGAAAACTGGCAGGTAAAATTTCTGCTTTACAGACGTAGTGTTCTCTCTTTCATAGATCATTGCAGCTGGTGACCACAGTTATTGTGGCTATTTTCTTAGTATAAAATGTCGATTACTGTCTGAAGATTACGATTGCTCTTTATTATGTTCATACGATCATGTTCAGGTATAGAAACTATCCACCGGAACAGCTTGTGGACATTGTAGCTCGAATACTGGCAATGGTTCCCCCATGGACTCGCGTATATAGAGTTCAGCGAGATATTCCTATGCCTCTAGTTACTTCTGGTGTTGAGAAGGGAAATCTTCGAGAGCTAGCTTTAGCTCGGATGAGTGATTTGGGCTTGAAATGCCGTGATGTTCGAACACGTGAAGCTGGGATCCAAGTAAGTGATCAATTTTTGTTTGCATTTGACAAATCTATGTTATATTATGCTGCAGCTGATAATCTTTTGAACGAAATTAGGACATTCACAACAATATAAAGCCAGAAGAAATTCAGCTTGTTCGTCGTGATTATACTGCAAATGAGGGATGGGAGACTTTTCTTTCATATGAAGATACACGTCAGGTGTGTCAATTGTAGTTCTTCTTTGCTCTTTTCTCTTTCTATATCTGAATGTCTCGAAGAAAACTACGAATGTGTTAGAACACAGGAAAAGGCAAAATTAAGAGTCTGCTAGTGCATATTAATTTTTAGACTGTTTTCACACGTTCACTTGTGAGGACTTCCAACGATTAGATTCAATACTGAAAATAAATAATTTTTCTCCTAAATTTTAGTTTCTGTTTGAGCCTCATTTTATTTGAACTCATTTTCTCCAAATTCATTTTCAGTCGCACATTCTCCTATTAAAATAATTTTTCACATAAACCCTAAATTTTTTCATGCTTTTTAGCTACACATTCTTGAAAATGATCACTTTTTACAATATATATTCCCAAGAAATGGGGCTCTAACTGGAGCTTATTCTAGGCTTTTAAATACTTTGATATACTTTTTTTTTTTTAAAAATGTCTGGCCTTTTGTGGACTTCATGGATTTCCCTGGAATTCTATAGATAATATTCATTTTTTAAAAATCTTGAATATAAAAATATAAATGTCCCAAATGAAATGTCTATTAGATTTTGTAATAACTTATTTAATTTCATTAATACTGTAAAATTATGAAATATTGTTGAGTGGACAATGTTTTATTTATTTTCTGAGAGAATAAGTATTACAAATTGTTTCTATATTCATAAATTATTATTTTTTAAATGAAAATTTATAAAAATGTTTAAAAATCTATAAAAGTCAATAGAAGTTCATGAAGTTTACAAAAGTCAATCACTTAAAAAATGTATCAAAGTATTTGAAAGTCTAGGTTAAATAACACCCCGTTAGGATAATAGTTCTAGATCATTTTTTAATGTTTTCACATATTATAAAAAGATCTATTTTATTATGTCGTCACTAGCGCTTACTTTCTGGATCTTTGGTTTGAAAAATGTTACCATTTTGTGATACTTAATTCTTTTGTACTTTCTGTATGATCTACCCTTTAAGTTGTCTGTATTCTGTAGTTATTTAGGGTTGCCAAGACCAGATTTTGATAAAGGTTGATGAAATATATTGTTGTTGAAAAGTGATAAAAGTTGTGGGTTCCATGCAATGTACATTTAAATTTGAAGTTTGATCAATTGAAAAATTTATAGCAAACTTTTATCAAACAAGGACTTAATCTTCATTTTACTATCCCCTTTCCTCTTCCAAACAAGAAAAGGAAAATTGTCTTATTGGCATTCCATTGAGAAAATTAGATATGGACTGCTTATCAGCCGCCATGAACTTGTTTTTCCGCTCTTATGGCATTACATTGAAAGTAGTGGTCCTTTTTTGATTTTGATTTTTGAGAAGTGATTTTCTGACTTATATTCTTCTTCTTCTTGAGAATATGTGGTTAAAAAGTTGCTAAACATTGTGGGACCACGTGCATAATTATTTTATTGGGAGAATGTGGATGAAAATGAGTTTGAGGAAAATTGATTATAAAAAAGTCAATATCAAAAATCAAACAAGGGCAAATTAAGTATTCTGAATATTCTGCCTCAATCTGGATTTTGTGCAGGATATTCTTGTTGGGTTATTGCGCTTGCGGAAATGTGGACGTAATGTAACTTGCCCTGAGCTCATAGGGAAGTGTTCTATTGTTCGCGAATTACATGTTTATGGGACAGCAGTTCCCGTCCATGGACGAGATGCTGATAAACTGCAACACCAGGGTTACGGTACCCTACTGATGGAGGAGGCAGAGAGAATTGCCCATAGAGAGCACAGATCAACAAAGGTAGCTGTGATTTCTGGTGTGGGAACAAGGCATTACTATAGGAAGTTGGGCTATGAGCTTGAAGGTCCTTACATGGTAAAATACTTGACGTAAGAAGACTATAAGACGTTTTATATGCAACTCAATGCAGATCATTTTATCGAGTTTTGGAGTTAGTTTTCCAGTCTTGTTGTATTAGAGAGCGTATATACTTGCCTGCCTTATCCATCTTTTTTTTTTTTTCAAATACTTGGATAGATTTGGATACTAAGTATCGGCAAAATTAGGTTTCGTAGTTTACAGTAATTTATGTACTATCTATATATGGTCAGATTCTGAACATGTTGCAATTAATGTTTTTTTTCTTATACTTGAGCATTTTCTTGGTCGTGTGTGTGCCACTAAATTAGCTCGACAACGATGTGGAATTTATTTTAGTGTCATTGGCAATCTCGGATTTGTCATCGAAGAGGCTGAAAAAATGTGCAAGCTTGCCAGTGCTTGATCTTTGTGCATGTGCATTATGGGTTCAAGAGGCAGGCAAAACTGAGTCAAATTTGTGTAATAAATGAATGGATAAATAAAATAAGACTAACGTTACTTATGGTATTAAGCATCAATTTAGATGACGATTACATGATATTAAATTCATTTAAATGTAAAGTCACATTATCCATTTAAGTGAACATATAAAGTGTAGTCACCTATATTGATGTTTTAGCATCAGTGTGTTAGATAGTATTATTTCTAAAATAATGAAAATTCTGCAAGGAAATGGATGTTTATGACCGCCGTGGCAAAATCTAAAAAGCAGCAATTTAGAAATGTTTGAAGTAAACAATTTTTGCTTACAAGGAACTTATAAGTTATTTTTTAGCTTCGCTAAATGTTGGCTTAACTCTTAGTTTTTCTGAAGTGGTGGGTTGACTCGACCATGTTTTGAAGGATGAAATTTCTATATATTCAAATTTGATAAGTTGAACGCATTAGATTATCTACTCGATCAATTTAACAAACTAGATGATTCAAGGTCTTCAATGAGTTAATACATATTTTATGCGTAACATTTTTGTTATATTTTACTTGCTATTGTCTATGTATAATATTTCGTACCACAAAATTTTGGTTTTTTTTTTTTGGTGGTTGTTTTAACCCGTTTTCGACCCACTTTAATACATATCAAATGAAATCGAAATATCACATTCTTAATATCATTTCTAAGCGCTCATGACCTAATTTTTCGCTTCTTAATGGTGTGCGAAATGATCAACCATAGCAAAAGTTACGATATATCAAAGTAGGCTGTTCCAAATTAATATTTCGAAAATTTGGATAATATGTTAACTTTCAAAATTTGTTGATGATCGCATACTATCCAAATGTACAAATCGCTTGCATCATCCAGAAGTTCGCTATGAAAACTATATCGTAGTCATATCGAATGGTCTAAACAGATATCGAAAATAGTTAAATATACATCAAACGTACGTATTAAAAGAGACGTTTAACTCGTCATTTAAAATTTTTTTTTAATTATTTCATTAACGTTTATTATTTTTTCATGATAAATTTTCCAATATAATTTACATTATTTTATTAGAAAATTTTACATTAAAAATTATGTCAAAAATTCTAAAATCGTTACGGATTAAATGTAATTTGAATTACTTTCAAATTAATTTTTTCATTAAACATAAATTTCATTTACTTCCTACATCTAATTTGATTTACTTGTCGTTAGCTCAACATCCATAAATGACATGGTAAACAAAACTATACATGTAACAAAATTCATTTAACAATATTGATAATGATAAAATTATAAGATACTTTTAACACGTCAAAATGCGTATTAACTTATTTTTATAAATATTATATTACTTTAAAATAACACATTTTTTTGAGCTAAACACAACCTGCGAGGATGATCTCGCAAATGATTGCACCCTCACATGCCCGACGGGGTCCCCATGAATAAAATAATTCCAATCCCATGTGTGTGAGTTGTGTTAATCCCACGATCATTCATTTGAGCACTGTAGCGCAACTCTAGTTTTTGACCCCATAACCTAAAACGGTTGGGTTCGTCCCTGCGTAAAATAACTCCAAATTGCTCTATATCATCAAATATTTTAGGGTAATAATACAGAGTTAAGGCATAAAAAAAAAAAAAAAAAAAAAAAAAAGAAAAAAAAAAAAAAAAAAAAAAAAAAAAAAAGGAATTAAGAAAGTCAATATGTGTGAGAAATTTTAAAGACACGTACATCGGTTTTTACAAATTTATGCATATAACGGGGAAAGAACATCAGACAAAAATCCCCGCCAACTTCATACAAAGGAAAAGTTCCATGGATTGTGCTGTTTATTCTTCAATGAAATCCAACGGTAAATTTCATTGAAAATCCACAAATTCTATCCAAAGCCCTGTAAAATACAATGGCATTGTGTAGAAACCGAATCCTCAAAACAACTCATCACATTACTCTTCTCAAGCTATCCAATCAAAATTTCATCAATTCAACTATTTATACAAACAGATATGACCACAATTTGATTCAGACAAAACCCATTTGCACCAATGCGAGTCGAACCACAGTTGAAGCCCTGATTTCCATTTTTACAAAGCGACCGTTTTCTTTAGAATCCCCAGAGCTTCAAGAGTTAAGCTCATATCTGACTCCTGAAATAGTGGAAACTGTTTTGAAGTCCTTCAAGAATTGGAGAGTAGCGCATATGTTCTTCAACTGGGCATCCGATCAAAAAGGGTATGCGCATAGTTGCTATACTTATAATGCCATGGCATCAATCCTATCAAATGCTCGACAAAATGCCCCGTTGAGAGCTCTTGCTCTAAATTTATCGAATTTTCAGTTTTTCTGGACGCCTGGGGCTTTGGGTTATTTTATAAGGTGTTTAGGTAGTCAAGGCCTGGTTAAAGAGGCTATTGATCTATTTGATCAAGTGAAGAGCTCAAGAGTTTGTGTTCCAAATAGTTACAGCTATAACTGTTTATTGGAGGCAATCTCGAGGAGTGGAGATGTTGGTTTGATTGAGACTAGGTTTAATGAAATGAGGGATCTTGGTTGGCAGATTGATAAGCATACTTTGACACCATTGTTGCAGTGTTATTGCAACAGTGGGGAGTTTGAAAAGGCCTTGGGTGTTTTTAATGAGATGAGAGACAAGGGATGGGTTGATGCACATGTATTGACTACTTTACTGGTGTCTTTTAGCAAGTTGGGCGAGGTGGATAGGGCTTTTGAGTTGATCATGTGGATGGAAAAGGAACAAAATATTAGTTTAAACGAGAAGACATTTTATGTCTTGATTCATGGGTTTGTAAAGGAATCCAGAGTGGATAGAGCCTTGCATCTATTAGATAAAATGAGAAAAACGGGATTCATTCCAGACATTTCAATCTATGATGTGTTAATTGGATGTTTGTGCAAGAATAAAGAGATTGACAAGGCCTTGATGTTGTGCAACCAAATGAGGGAACTAGGTATGACTCCTGATGTTAAAATAATGTCAATGCTTTTATCATGTTTACAAGATGAGAAAGACATGATTTGGTTGCTTGAAGAAAAGCAGGCAGATTTGGATTTGGGGAAAAGGATGTTACTTTATAATTCTGTTTTGTCTGGTTTTGTTAATAATGGTTCAGTTAATAGAGCCTATCATTTGCTGAAGGCCACGATTGGCAATGGAACGAATGGAGGTTTTGAGGCAGAAAATATCATTTTGGTTAAGGAAAATGTTTGCCCTGATACCACTTCTTTCCAAATAGTCATTGATGGTCTGTGCAAAAGTGATAAGTTAGACCTGGCCCTTGGCCTATTTTTTGAGATGGATCAAATTGGCAGTAAACGTAGTGTGTTACTTTTTAATAATTTAATCAATTGTTTGAGCATTGCTGATAGGTTGAATGAATGTTTTGATCTTCTGAATAAGATGAAGGAATCAGGATTCCAGCCAACGCATTTCACCTTCAATTCCATATTTGGGTGCTTATGTAGACGAGGGGATGTTGCAGGAGCTCTTGATATGGTTAGGGAAATGCGTTTGCATGGGCATCAACCCTGGATAAAATATTATACCCTGCTTGTCAAAAAACTTTGTGAGCAAGGGAGGGCAGATGATGCCCATAATTTCCTAGTTAACATGACTCAGGTAGGATTCCTGCCTGATATGGTTGCCTATTCTGCAACTATTTATGGTTTTCTCAAGACCAAGGAACTGGATCAAGCTTTGGAGATATTCAGAGAAATATGTAGACGTGGTTATTGTCCTGATGTAGTTGCATATAACACGATAATAAATGGGCTGTGCAAAGCCAAAAGGATACTGGAAGCTGAGGATGCTATGAATGAGATGTTCAGTAAGGGACTTGTTCCATCAGTTGTTACTTACAACTTTTTAATTGACGGGTGGTGCAAAAATGGTGACATTGATAGAGCTCTCGTATGTTTTTCGAGGATGGTAGAGGAAGAACAGGAACCAAATATCATAACGTATACAACTTTAGTAGATGGGTTATGCAATGCTCAAAAACCAGATCATGCACTCAAGCTTTGGACTGAAATGGAGCACAAAGGATGTGCTCCAAATAGAATTGCTTATATGGCTCTCATTCATGGGCTTTGCAAGTGTGGGAAATCAGATGATGCTCTGCTCTATTTGCAAAAGATGGAAGACAAGGAGATGACACCCGATCCTTTTGTGTATGAAGCTTTAGTAGATGCTCTTATGTCAAATTCGAATACAATTATGGCTCATGAAGTAGCAGAAAAGATGGCCAAGCTTACAAATACTAGCTGAAAAGGTAATTTTTAGTGTTCAATATCAGTGAAATTATTTTACTGAGATTTGGGTATGTTTGTCCCAAATTTAAATTCCCCTTCCACAGAGTTTTGAGAGTTTCTTATATCTGCTCATTATTTACAATTTCCTTCAAATATAAGGCAAATCGAAGAATCAGAAACAAATTGCACATGCTGCTCATGACAAACAAAAACTATCCTCTCATAATTAGCCAACATTTGCAACATATTCATAGATAATTGCTGAAAGAGGGTTCTTAAGGTCTACTTGTTTATTACTATTTCTCATATTCATAGATAATTGCATTGAACTGTTAAATGCTCCACAATAGATATCTTGACTTGTAGGTTGTGTGTTGGTGATTAATATAGTCGTGAAGTTTGTTTAGTTGGTTGTTTGTGGTGATATTATCTTTTAATGTGCACATTTTTGTCATAGACACTGTTTGATTTGTTTTTTCTTCTCTATCAATCAATACCAAGCCATTCTTTATTAATTAAATTGACTTAATATCATTTCAGATAGATGAACATAATTTTCATATATACTTCATACTTTTTACATAGAAAAGAGATTACGTACAGGTAAGACAAGAAGTCATCGAGCTTATAAACTACAAAGACATTGAAAATGTTGCATGTTGAATCAACAGAAGAAATTGTATTTTCAATAATTGTCCACTCATTCTCAGGCTCAGCTCCTTATCCCATGAATTTTGTTTACCTAATTCTGGAAAATGACATTATTAAGAATGCAACTTGATTTATTCTTATTTAAATTATCTACAATTATTTCTATACTTTTGTATGTTAAAATGTATCTTTGTACATTTCAGTGTCTGAGAACTGTGAAGTGAGGCAGTTAAATGTGAATTATGCATTCCTAAATGGAATACTACAAGAAGATATTTATATGAGCCAACCTACATTGACAAAACAAACCAGGGCATGCTTGCAAGGTCGAGGATGCTCTACATGGTTTTAAACAGGTACTAAAAGCCTGGTCTTACAGGCTAAAACCAACTCTTCTTGACCCGGGCTTTATAAATTCAAGTACTGATTCCTCATTGTTCTTTTTCAGATCCAAGACATAAGTGCTGATGATGCTCATTTGCGTAGATGATATGATAGTCACTAGAAATGACACAAGAGTCATTAAATCAATTTGTGGAGAAGTTATCTACATTGAAGGACTGTGGCTCATTACATTGCTTTTAGGGATTTGAAGTCTTTAGAGATGAAAGCAGCATTTACTTAGAAATGATACATAGAGGATCATCTTTTAATGGACAGGCCTACGGAACACTAAATCTTGTCCAACTCTAGTAACTGTTGGAAGGAGTCTTGTGCCTCAGTGTAGATCAAGGCTAGACATTGCAGTTGTGAATAAACGAAGTCAGTTCTTGGAGGATCCTAGAGCCCAAATTTGCAGGCAGTCAAAGAGAGTCCTAAGGTATCTGAAAGGGACAGTGGAACGTAGTTTGCACATCAAATAAAGTATAGGCCTATTTGGCTTTTCTGACGCAGACTGGGTGCATCCCTGATGATAGATATCTGTTGCTCATTACTGTCTTCCATAGGAACACTATAGCATCTTGGTATTCTCAACAATGTGGTTGCAAGATCAAGTACTGAGTCTGAATACATGGCTTTGACTCGAGTCTCCTGTGTATCGGCTTCGTTAGAATCATTGCTGAAAGAGTTCTCATTTCCCTTGCCTCTGGTTCCTATTACTTGGTGTGTGAACATCAGTTCTTGTGCTCTAGCATCCAATCCATTATACCATTCTAGGACTAAACATATTGAAGCTGACATTCACTTTCTTTGTGATCAAATTCTAGGAAAGCAATTAGAAGTAAGATATATGCTATCAAGTGGCTGATTGTTCAACGAAGGTAATGATTCGTTCCAAGTTCAGTTCCTTGAAGGAGAAACTTGGGGTTGTCAAAAGGGCACCATCCTATTTAAGGGAGTTGTTGAATCAATTAGCTAACACCTAATGGAGGCTAGTGAGCTAGTTTAAGAGACCGAGGCCACCACTATTTGTGCAACAGAAAGCCAGTCAGTTCCCTTCTTTAACTCAGAATATTTTTCTTCTCAATTCCATGTGTTTGTTATTTGATTATTTTAGTTGTATATTATTGTTTGTAAAACTTATACATGATTAAGTTAACAAGTTTCATTTCATGACTTATACATGATTAAGTCAACAAGTTTCATTTCATTATTTGGTTATAGAAATCAAAGGATGGACAATACCTCTGATTTTGAGCCGTCTTCTTCAAGAAACTCCAATTTCTCAAATCTCCCAAAATCCTACTCATGAAACAATGCATACTACACTCACCAAGAATTATTGAAAACAACCAATATCATCCCTGGTCGAGGATGGTCTATGCCACTCAATAGGAGATGGAGGTGCCTTTTGACTTTGCTAATTGTCGAATCACTTGCTATTTATTTGCCAATTATCATACGTCATTTCTTTAGGTTGATAAAAGTAATTGCGAAGTGTTGGTATTTAAGATAGGGAGCTTAGTAAGCTTGCTCGAGTTTAGTTAATTCATTCAAATATGAGTTGTTATTATTATTATTATTATTATTCGAAGGGATCAATGGATTTCACCCCTCCCTTTAAAGGAGGCTGGAACCGAGGTCATCAGCTTGGTAAGATTTTGCTCTTACTACTTGATTTAGGTATTGACCTTGGGGTTGTAAGTATACATCCACGTAAAAAATGTATAAACTTGATTCTTTATTAATCAACTTGAGCTAGGATGATTATTGAGTTAAATGTTTCATTGGCAACCGACCTTTACACTTAGTCACAGCTTACTCATCAAACTTCAAAAATCGTTCCAATGGCCACTAAACTTATCATCGTTGCACTCAATTACTTAGCAATTTAAATCCATCAATGAATCTGGCCACCTGAACAATGGAATGTACGACATAAATGTGACCGATAGGATTGAAATGTGATTGGATGGCCGTGTGATGACAGATCTAAAGAGTCTTGATCCTAACTTATGAACTTCAACAAATTTTGTGCTTTTCCAGTTGATCACTGTTGGATTAAATGTATCGGATGGAATAGTTGGGAATGAATACTGGATTAACACATACTGTATATGCAATTTAGATACCGAATTTATGCATACCTTATATGTAACATATAGTATTTATGCATTCCGTATATGCAACAGCTTACCGTATATGCATATACCGGTCTTGCATATACTGTATATGAAGTAAACTTGGAAAAATATAGCAGATTAAACTACAATAAAATGAACAAATTAATCTAACAGGCCAAAAAAGCAGATTAATTTCTAATAAACAGAACAAGTAAACTAATTAGCCAAAAAAATTAACCGAGACTTGTGAGAACACAGTTTTCTTAAAACAAATTCACCCTCTCACCGTAGGTGCTTGAGAATTAAATTGGACATCTATCTTCTAGGATACAATGGATGAACAGTAGAATTTGAGCACATCAAATACTACTCAAGCTAATAGAATATGTGTTGAATAGTATCACCAACTAACTTTTGGATAGACACAAGACTATATGCAGTATGAAAATTTATGCAAAAACTGTGTTCTGTAAAATTATGCAGAGTATGTACTGTATAGTTTCTTCCCTTGATTTTCTTCTTGTGTAGAATTGTTAGAAACTGGGTTACTTATATAGGCTTGATCCCATGAATGTTATTAACTCATATTGTAATGACAATGAATATAGGAGTTTCAATAGTTTTGGAATTCAAACGGTCAATTGGAGGAAAAATAGCGAAACGTAAGCTCTTCTAAGGGGTCAATTTCCACATCCAAGGTTTATTTTGGATCAATTTTCTCCCTGCGTGCACACGTAGAGAGAGCTTCTATGCTACATGATCACACCATTCCAAAGTACAGTCCTATTTAAGGTGGCATTTGTTTTCATAATTTTCCTATTTGGGATAAACTTTAAATGGTTTCCCTTCCAACAACATAAACTTCAATGTTCAAAAGCTACTATACTAGTAATATTTAATGCCTAATAAGTTGGTTGATGAAATATTTTACCTTCAAAAACTCTTCCCAAGCTATAACATCAGCTGTGACACGTCTAGTGTCAGGATCTAATCCAAAACCACTCATTCTCAACAATTGGCGAACTTCGACACTCGAATATTATTTTTGGCAACTAAATACATGAATTTGATGTTCTTACGGAGGAGAACACAAATCAATCTTGAATTTCCAAAATAATTAACCTGGTCCTACTCAAATTTCTCGCCAAAGTTAGCTACTCAACCCATTTTTTCCAACAATCCCCTACGTGAATGAAAATTGGGAAAGATACAAGACCGTGAAACAAAGACCGGGTAACAAAGTTAAACGTCTGAAACCTGCATAGGATAAGTAGGTATTACCCTCTGAACCTTCCCTTGTAAAAGTATATTTATTTTACTAGCTGACCAGTAGACGCGTTGTCTTTGAACTGTTCTGTCATTTGTGTAAACGATAATATACTCCACACAGGATTCTTCCTAACACTATTCAGTTCTCATTATTATGTTCGTTTTGGTCATGATCATACGCCTGATTTTGTGAGAGTTTTTAAGAATTGAGCCCTACGCAATTCTCTTAGAAGCGACCCCACTTCTCTATCACATATGTGATTTTTTATTACAAGTAACCTACATTACTTGGCTCGAACTTCGACGTATAAAAATTATTAAAAGCCTATTGCTTGTTTTTAATCCTTAGGGCATTATTGTTACATCATAGGAATGAACGGGAAATAACATTCTCCACAGTGATTTAATTAAGTTTTTACAATTAGGTTATCCCTTTAAATCTAGATTTTGGAATCTCCAGTCATCTAGGTTGGATTTTCTTTGTAATAACTTATCCGTTTAAGGGTTTAAGTGTCATTTCTTTCAATGATTTCTCAATTAACTCTCTATTTAACCCTATCGTTAGCGGATCCACAATGCTATCTTTTGACCTCACATAATCAATAGTGATAATTTCAGTTGAGAGTAGTTGTCTTATGGTATCGTGTTTACGACATATATGTCTAGACTTACCATTGTACATGTTACTTTGTACCCTTCTAATTGCTGATTGGCTATCATAATATATGTAAATTACTGGCACAGATTTTGATAATCTTGGAATATCCTCTAAGAAGTTGCGCAACCATTCAGCCTCTTTACCATATGTATCTAGAGCTATAAACTCAGATTCCATAGTAGATCTGACTATAACTATTTGCTTAGAAGATTTTCAGGATATGACAGCACCTCCCAATGTGAACACAAATCCACTGGTGGACTTTGAGTTTTTTATATCAGATATCCAATTAGCATCACTATATCTTTCAATGACCGCTGAATATATGGCATAATGTAATCCGAAGTTTCGAGTATATCTTGAGTACCATAGTACTCTTACTATTCCATTCCAGTGATTAGCTCCTGGATTACTTGTATATCTACTCAATCTACTGACTGTGTAAGATATGTCTAATCTTGTACAGCTCATCAAGTACATTAGACTTTCAATAACTTTCGAGTATTCTACTAGAGAGACACTTTCACCTTTGTTTTTAGATAGATGTTGAATTGTATCTATTGATGTTCTAGCCAGGTCAGTATTATCGTTATTGAACTTTTCTAAGATTTTATCCACATAATGCAACTGACCTAGAGCAAGCTCATCTGATGTTCTTGAAATTTTGATTCCAAGTATAATATTAGCTAAACCCATATCTTTCATGTCAAATCTCGAATTTAACATATCTTTAGTGGATTAATTATCTTATTGTCACTACCAACAATAAGCATATCGTCAACGTAAAGACATAAAATGACGTAACCATCTTTAATGTCTTTGACGTAAACAAATTTATCACACTCATTGATTTAAAATCCACAATCCATCATGATACTATCAAATTTTTCATGCCATTGTTTGGGTACTTGTTTCAAGCCATATAGTGACTTCACTAGTTTACATACTTTCTTTTCCTGCCCCGGTGATGAAAACTCCTTGGATTGTTCCATATAAATTTCTTCCTCTAAATCTCCATTTAAAAAAGTAGTTTTAACATTCATTTGATGTACTTTAATGATCGGTGCAAAACTGCAAGTGCACAGTAATGTAGTGTTATAGTAAAGTGATGAGAAGAGTGTTGTCCTCGGGGATTGATAACTCAGTTTTGACAAATACCAAAATTATACTAATCTTAGCTTTATCTGGAGAAGTCACTAGAATTGGTTGTAATTGCAAACTAAAATAATAGAAAAACAAAGTGACAAAAGGATTTGTTCGATGCAAGAATTAATGAGAAAAATAACTTCTAGAAAATTTGATTTCACCTAGTCTCTCATTATGCTTTGTTTTTCTAGCTAAAAGAAACTAACTCTCTAAGCTTGTTAGCCAGACCGGCTAAACCATCCAAAAGCTTCTTTTAATAGTCAATTGGATCTTTTCTTGAATATTAGTTCACACAAGAGTATGAAATTAATAGAACAAGAAAGCATTAAGTGCAATAATTCCTCTCTTAACGTTACACAGGTTCTTAACGGTCTTTCAATCCTATAATTACCTATGCTGAAATGTTCAATGGTCTATCTTATAATTCCCTCTTTCGAAAGCAAATCAAAAGATCCAAATCTACAGCATCCATCAAGAAAAATCAGAATTTTCACCAAGAAAAATTAGAATTTTCTATTGCTTGTCAGTCCCCGCTTTTCCATTTTCGAATTCCTTTTCTGCCCAATTTTCTTATCGAAAACTCTCGTTTTTGTCTCTTTTTTCTTCCCAGCTTATTTAGGTTTTTTCTTCTTCCTTCCTTAAAAGTATCCACTCTTATTGTTATCCTCATGCGAGAGTCCCTGAACTTTAGGCAATCTCTCTCTAACGACTTCTCTTTTTTCCTCCCAATCTTAAGCAGCTATCTTGCGTCTGGAGGATGAAGTTTGATGATATGATTATTGGCCATCCTAGCAATTGGGCTTTATTCTCTAAAATGATGGGCTGTTACTATGTGGGTCTTCCGTTTCTTCAAATCTGGACGTAAATTTAAATGATCACAATGAAACTTAAAATTGACCAAAACAATTAAAATTGGACTAGATTTTAGAGTCAACAGGTGATAAATGTATGAAGTTATGCAAATCATCATTCAAGAGTTCGTAG